GTTGGCCACACTGTCGGATGATGAGAGTAATTGAATCCGCTTCTAGAGTGTATTGCTCCGTACTGGATTATAATTATTATGTATGAATATAGGTCATGATCATAGCCAGTCAGAATTTTGATTTTTGACAAAATGATAGATTCACAAGAAAATTAATATTATTTACAAAAATTTACACTTTAAAATATTGGGTAGTCAATAGAAGTCGTGGCAGTCGTAGTATATAGTGTTGGGAAGGTGAGATTAAAAAAAAAAAAAAAAAAAAAAAAAAAAAAAAAAAAAAAAAAAAAAAAAAATCAGGGAAGTTGAAAAAAAGTTACAACTGTTCAAAAACGATTTAAAACAATGAATATGAATTCCCTATATTCAGAAATTTTCATTTAAAAAAGGAAAGAATGCCACGCAAGTCACAAATAAAGGTTGTGGAATAGGTTCACTCTTTTCTTATCTGGAAATTTCGATGTGAAAGACGCACTCGCTCTGGTCAACCCATTATTGAACAAGAAAAACCGTTAACGTCGACTGTACAGTAGGCATATACCCTTCACAGGTGCATTTCTTTCAGTAACTATTTGTTCAGTTTGTATGGAAGAACTGTGCCAACTTTTGTGAAGATACATTGTCAAATGTGAAGTTTGTATGAAAGTTGTATGGCTAAATCGACTCAGCTCAACATACTGATCATACTGATCATTGATCACTTTATAGGGTCACCAACGCTTTCTTTTGAGTGTTACAATCTTCATGAATGGATCATGGCCCAATCGTAGTGAAGCTCAACAAATGGTCGCAAAGCTAGGATTGACGCCTCGATGTTATGCTGTGCGTTTGGACAGCACAGGACTGGAAAGGAATCATCATCGAACGACTGATTATACATTTTACTATCAACAACTGTTGAGAACGAAACACGCAATCGTAAAAAAACGGCCAGAACTAATCAACAGAAAGGGCTTGTCTTCCATCAGGACAACAATGGACCACACACATGTTTGATGACTCGGCAAAAACTAGGAGAGCTGAGCTGGGAAGTTTTGATGCATCCACCATATAGCTTTCATGTTGCACCATAAGACTACCAATTTTTTCGGACAATGAAAGAACTCCCTTAATGGAGTAAAGTTGGATTCAAGAAAGCCTGTGATAATTACTTCTCGCAGCTTTCCGCCGAGAAACCAGAAAAGTTTTACACTGATGGAATTATGCTCTAGCGGAAAAATAGCAAAATGGTACATATTTGGTTCTTTAAAGTTCATTATAAATATAAAAAATAGGCTGAAGTATGTATGTACATACATATATGTTTCTAGAAATAATAACTACAGAATTAGCACAAAGCAGACAGCTTTTCTCTTATTTTTCTATCACAAGGTAGTACTTTAAAGTAGTACTGATCATCTATAGATAACAGATAAAAATACGACCTAATGAAAGAATTTTTTTGTTATAGAAGATAGACAATTATAGACAATAGACAAAAGCACACATGGCTCTCTAGTATATTAGTGCTTTCTCCGAGTGCTGACAAGAATCGGTCCTGTATATACAAAACAAATGATTTTCATTTGTATAAACATTGTATATATTTATATTTATTATGTACATATATATATACATATCCACATACTCGTTACATTCATATACATATGTTTCACATGGCATAAAGTGATTCCAAAATAACAAAAAAGTTTATAATATCTTTCGTTCACATTCACCACAAACAATAATTTTAGTTTACGTTTACGTATACGTACATAGTTATACATAATGTTTAAAATTGCAAAATTCCTTTTGTAAAATGTAAACTTTTCAATATGAATATAATATTTTGAATTGTTGTGAGCGCCTTATGTTTTGGCGGCATATTCATTCCTTTGGTGCACCCGGTGTTACTATCCGCAGTGTTGTATCTAGCAAATTTTTATTACCCTTCAAACCAAAATAAATTAAATTAAATAAATATATATTGAAAGATATTTACTTTATTCGGTGTTTAACATTCGTCCTCAATTTATATAGATAAACTTTTAACTTTGTTATTAAAGACAAATAATTTACCAACTAGTAATTTTCTCACCGACTTTTGTTACAGACTAAACTGCTATACCGACGAATGGTTCCTACACAATTCGCATGCAACAGCAACTCTTGACCATTCATTTCGCTTGAACATTCATTCATCGTCCAATAAAGCGGCGAATAGCAGACAAAAACGCCGAGCAATTAGTTCATTTTTCACGATCCTTTCTGAATTTACTTTGTTTCTCACCTAAAAGAAGTAGCAAGGGTTGTGTTTTTAGCTGTTGCGAAAAAAATACGCACAAAAGGCAAACAATACAAAGTGTTGTGATTTAAAATATAATATAAAGGTAAGTTCAAGTCTTTTGAAGCTCAATTAAAAATGTGCAACAAGTCGCTAAGTGGAACAAGAAAACTATATACATTTTATTGTGGTGATTCATCCGGTTTTGCGTGACGACTTGGCTACTAGCACAGTTCTTTTGTGAGAGCTAGAGCACTTAATTATGATTTGTTTTATTATTTGCCATTCGCTTTGTTCCAGCAATTGACGCACAAAGTTCGGAAGAACAACAAAATTTGAAAAATGGAGAACCCAAATGAATTTCCGGCACCATCTGGATCAACAACTGAGTAAGAATGCAGATTTATTTATTTTATTGTGTGATAATTCATTAAAGTTATAATCATTACATGTCAGTGTGTTATCAGTCCGCCAGACCTTAGTGCTACTATTGCAATTAGCACATATTCGCCATCTTGGCCAGTGCAATAGAATTGGTAACGTACATATGTTTCCACCTACATTAAATACATATGTACTCGTATTTTCCTAACGTTTGGTTATCTCTAATACGTGGGTTGGTTTATTGCTGCAGACAATTTACGTACAAACATTAAACTACGTGGATTGAAATAACGTTTTATTAAAATTCCATTAGTGACCAGAGTGCAGAAATAGAATTAGTTAATATTATATATGTGTACGTACATTAATATATATATGACCGTTTGTGGCTTAACTTCTTCACTGTTGCCGGTATGACCTCAATGGCCTTAAAAAGTTAGCTGACATTTGTATTACAATTGATATGACTACATTCCAAATACAATAAGGGCAAGTGGGGGAAATACTTCACAGCTGGTGGTGCATGCAATCATTAGTTGCTTAAAAAAAATTTGTATCGTGTACTTGTCAGCCTATTAGCTGCGTACATAAAATGAATACTTAATAGTTCTTGTAAAGAACTTAGTCTAGCCAACTGTATGTGTTGTCTGTGTGTGTTGTACAATGTTTATACAGGGTGTTTTATAGGTGGGTTAGCTGTTGTCTGACACGCTTCTCGCCAAAAATTTCTATATACGAAATGAAATGGACACCCTGTTATATTTTGTAATCTAACCCGTATAAAATTGTATAGTTTTCCTGTTTTACCCCCGCCTCCGAACTCTGCCAGTCCCAGCAATAATAATCAAGGGCAGAAGCGACTTCAACAAACCCAAGCCAAGGTCGAAGAGGTGGTCGGTATTATGCGCGTGAATGTGGAAAAGGTTCTGGAGCGCGATCAGAAGCTATCGGAACTGGGTGAGCGTGCTGATGCGCTGGAAGCCGGTGCCTCGCAATTCGAACAACAAGCTGGCAAGTTGAAACGCAAACAATGGTGGGCCAACATGAAAATGATGATAATTATGGGTGTGATCGGTGTGGTTCTCTTAATTATCATAATCGGTAAGTACGGTTCTAGCAATGTAATGGAAAGTAATTAAATGTACAGTCATATCAATTTCTTTCACTGTGTCAATTATAAATTATGATAAATGGCTTCTGACATTTGGACTGAGGTGCAATTTAATAAGGTTTCAGAGTATATTAATCGATATTATTGGTTAAAGTTTTTGGAAACATTTTCCTTTTTAAATAATTAATTACATTAAGGTAATTCACACTACATTGTATGTTTAACTAGTATTATTCTAACACGTTTTTTTTTTTCTCCAAATTTTTGGTTTATTTTGTGGGAAATTTTTTTGCATTTTTTATATATTTTTTTAATTCTTTTAAATTTTTAATTTAATTTTATTTCATTTTGTTATGTTTTTTTATTATTGTTTTTGCAATTGACTAAAAGGTTTCAGGGTATATTTATCAATATATTATATATGTATATGTTAATGATTTAAGTTTTTAAAATGCTTTCTTTTTCAAGTAATTAAATAAGTTAATGGGGTCCACATAAAACAAATCTAACAAATTTATTTTATATTTTTATAATACTTTATTTTAATTATTTTGTGTAACAGTTTTTATTTACGTATTTTTTTTATAGTGTTTTTTTAACTATTAGTATTAATTTTTCCTTTTTTGGTTTTGAGATACTTTTTCATGTTATTGTATAAAATTACGTCGTGATTAATAATACTAAATTATTTTATGTTCTAAATAAATATTATGTTGACTGTATTTTTCATTTCAATCTTTCAAATTTACAACTAACATGTTCGCAAGTATGAAATCGTTAATAACTTGTTTTCTCAACGGGTTCTTTTGACCTTAACTTATCAGCTAATCGCCGTTATCACTTTACAATTCTCCTTTATTTTCGCATTTTTTTTTGGTGACATTTTCTTTTGGTTTCGGTTTTTATATGAGAAACAAAATTTTTATGTTGAATTCAAAATTATACCAAGCTGTTTTCGCCACTTTTTTACTTCTTTATTTTCAGTTATGCTCTTTTATTAACCGGTACCAATTAGCAGTTGAAGATCAACATTTTAAATATATATATGTATGTTCTCTATAAGTGTGTGTTTTTGTCTATACATGTATGTGTCCAGTGTTTTCAGTTTCTTTAATTAAGCATTTTTGAATTAAAAAGCGGTAAATAGTTGTTTAAGTAGGAAAAGTAAAAGTTTGCACCGACGCAATACGTCTGAAAGCCATTTTATTTAAAGTGTAAGTAAACCATTTCGAATAATGTTTCGATTCTAAGAAAATTATATTTTCGCTTTTGTTACAAAATATTAATTAAATTTTCTTCTCTCTACCGTTTACAGTATCCTTCCTGCCATCTGGCAGTAGCAGCTCTGATTCACATAACCAAATTCAAAACACGGCATCACCTTAAAAAGCTCAGACCGTAGTGGCCTTATGATGATTCCTTGTTGTTTTGATTGAAAGCATTGTACGTGGTTTTTAAAAAATGCACAAAATGCCAGCGCACAATCAATATGCATTGGATCGTTTCTTTAATATACAGTTCTAACTGAATGTCTTTAAACAGTATACAAAAAAAAAAAAACAAAAAAAAAATATATACATATATATATATATATACATAAATCATTATACATATATACAAGTAATATACAAAATGTTTGCCTTACATATACAACGGATATCTGAATGAAATTGTAATTGGAAATGGAAAACATAACAAAGCAAAGTATTTGTTTAATTTTGTGTTTGTTTAACTGTTTTTGTAATATAAAAACGTTTTTCGTACTCTTAATTGTTAACAAAAAAAAGCCGAAATCCATTTGACATTTTTACATATACAATATTAAAATGATTTGTAAAACTATATTGCTGTTATATGCATATACAGAGTACACATACATATATAAAATTATATACATGTATATTTACTTAAACAGAAAATAGTTTAGTGTTGATTTTAGCGTTTTCGAAGTATTTACATAATATACATACATATTCTAACGGTATATGAGAGGAAACAAACAACTATTTACAAAATGTAAACTATACACATACAAAAAATAAATTAAGCAACATTTTGGAAAACATTAAACGCGTTTATTACTCAATAGTAAATGGCATGACAAAATACAATATGTAAAAAATATATATACGCACATACTTATATACTTGAGGAACATACATATTTATTTATGGAACAGCTGTTGTTTGACTTTTGTGCAAATTTTAACGTAATTTTCTTGTATACAATTGCAAGAAGAAAAAAATGAAGTGAACGTAAAGATAATCATTAACTGGAAGCTGGATCGGTGAACTTTATACACTATTTCTTTTCCTTTTTTGTACTTGGCTATTGGTGTTGGCGTTTCATTGCTTCATCGAGTTCCTCAAAGAGTAAGACGCTCATCGAAAAGAGCGTCATGTAATTGATGTAGAACAACGTGCCATACATATGTGGACCATATGTGTCCATCCAAATGAACTCGGCACTGCTTATGGCCTTCGCGCACATTAAGATGTACTGCAAAGAGTTTTTATAAAAAATTGTTATGAAATATTAAAGTCGAATAATGTGTAACCGTTAATTTTTGTTTATTTGTTGTAATGTTGTCACTTGTGTCTCTGTGTTTTTATCACCTAAGTTTAATACCGTTATATTGTATCTTTGTGTCTTAAATCATAAATTAGTGAAAAACAGATTGTAAGGGCGAATGTTTGTGTGTGAAAGAAAAAATTAAAATAATTATGATAAGTAGTGTAAAAAATTGCATTCACGCAATTTCTAAAATTATGAAGCGTAACCAATCAACAGTGAACAGAATTTTAACATTTTGCGTGAGAGATAGGAAAAAGGAACAGGCCGTAAAAGAATGCCCACAGAGTAAGAAAACAGAAGATTGGAAAGAATTGCGTTGCAGGATTGGTTCAAAATTGGAACCGAATTAAGTATGGAATGTATGGCCAATAACTTGCCAATAATGAGTGCTTCCACTGTTAGAAGTCGGCTGCTAGAGGATGATATAGCTTTTCATAAACCGGCAAAAAAAACCGCTATTAAGACTGAAAATGCGAAAAAACGTTTGGAGTGGACAAAATTGCACMGTAAATGGGCTGTGGAAGATTAGAGAAACATGATGTTTTCGGCAGAAAGCAAATTATACTTTCCAGCCTCAAGGTCAGTAGTATGTGAAGCATTGAAGTGGAGAACGGTATGCGGATAATTGCACGTACGAACTGTGGAGCACAGTCCATCGGTAATGTTTTGGGAGTGTTTTTCTTTTTACGGGACTGGAGAACTAGAGCTGGTTGACGGAATAGTGAAAAATTTTGGGGAACAGTTTGGTGCCCTCAATGGAAACCCCATTTTCCACATTTCTTAATTTTTGAACGATTTTCTAGAACAGTTCCGATTTAAATCTTATAGCAAATCTTTGAAGAATACTAAAGCAAGAGATTTCGAAAAGGAATTCAAAAACTACATACGAAATGTCTTGGTTTGGTATGGTGGAATATCGCTCGAAACCTCGTCGAGTTAAAGCAGTAATAAAAGAAAAAGTTGGATAAAGAAAATATTGAAAGTTGCTGTTAAGTAAACTTTTGAAAAAAAAAGGATTTTATTTACAAATATTTTTTTATAAGAAAAGAGCGGGTTATACTATATACTTAAAAAAACCTAAAAAACTCATTATATTTAAAAATATAGGATCATATTATGAAAAAATCCTGATGAATAAACACTGTTACTTATTTAATGAAAGACAAATATAAATATATGCAAAAATAGGGAAGCGTTAACTTCATAAATTATAGTGATGCAATTTCTATGATCGTGGCAGTACACATATACATATGTATGAATAGCGCCACTAGCTAAGTTGATTTGGCCATATCCGTCTGTCTGCGTATACACGAACTAGTCCCTCAGTTTTTGATATATTGCAAATCTTCATTTCTCCTCAAGAAGCTGCTCATTTGTCGGAACCGTCGATATCAGGACTATTTCTTAAGGCAATACTAAAATATATTATTATAATATTTTCTAAATCGAACGTTAGCATGGATTATTTCCTAAGGCAACGCTATAATATTTTAAGAATTTTATTTAGATGAAACGTCAGCATACAGACGTTATACAAACTGAACGATCGAAATCCAGTTCTTTCATGGAAAGCTTTTTATTTGTGAAGGGAATTTCAGCTTCGGTTAAATTTATAATTTTTTTTCTTGCAATCGACGCCTAAAGTTTCAGTTTTTGCATCAAATATTAAGATCCAACGTAAAAAACGTCTTTGCTTTCAACCTCAATCGTACCTAAATCATGATTATTTGTTCATGTAAAGAACTTGGAATTTGTAATATGTAGCATTAAACAAGCATAATATATTATATGCAAATTAAGATAAATAATTTATACAATATCTAATGGTCGGTCGCATTCATGCAAGTGCCTTATAAACTCTGCGTTCCTCATACGACATGGTGTACTGTATGAATGTTCAGTACGTTTGCTTAACTATAATGTGTATGTGTGTTTGTGTATGCGCGTGTGTTCTAAAATACTTACAAGCGACATGAAAAATGTCATTGTTAATGTCATAACCACATCGAAGTAAGGACTTTTCAGTGAAATTCCAACTATAATACCCATTGAGGCGACTAAAAAACAACGACAAGTCCAAGCGAATATAAATGCCGGCTTATATACATAATAATCCTGTAGGAGTCAAAAATTATTGTTGCTACTGTTTCATTGTCCTGCTTTCAAAGTGAGTACTTACTTTTTTCGCATGAGCGATCAGTATGCCTGCTACTATGACAACTGTTGATATGAAGCCCGAACACGACAATTGCGTCAATTTATACGATGACAATGGCATTGCTACTGGGACGCTGGAAAGTTCGAGCTTTGGAAAATTTAAAGTTAGAGGGTATACTTTAAAATGGGCATATTCATATGTATGTATGTATGTAAGCATATTTTTATTTGTAAAGCGATTGGTGTAGCATACTTTCGGGCATTTAATGAACGTACCATTATTACTGTATAGCAATAAAATACCGCCATATGTCGACCCTTCGTTATGTCGTCATAAAAGAATACCAACGTGATCAGCATTGTGAAGCTCAACACGAATGGCAGCAGTGAGAGACAGTAGTGTGCTTTCACATAATTGGTAATTGCGTCGCTGCAACAAAAGCAAAAACGTAAACAAAGCGCGGAAAATCAAAGCGTAATCATAGTAACGGTCCCATTCACTACGCAAACACAACAAAAACATACATACATTTTATATATTAATATCCACTGACTGATGCTCACAACCAAGTAGCCAAGCGCGTGCAGATGCACCTCAACGATGAAGTCTGTGTGTATTTTACGCACGGCGAGTACAGCCTCCGGCGTGTCGTCCTGCCACAGTGGAACTTTACCAAAGAATTGAATTTCCTCTTCTTCTTCGACTTTCACCACTGGTAATTTGTATTTCCTTGGCGCTTCAGCCGGAATGTCATCCAGTTGCTGTCTGTTAAAAGCGGCGGCTTCAATCGCTACTGCGGCCGCCGCCGCGATGGTTGGCTGTGCGCCGATTACTTTTACCAACGGCATTACACTTTAGATTTCCCAAATCTTTATTATTTATATACAAAGCGAATTGTAAAAGCAAACGCTTTTACACTTTGTTGACGTTCGATGTCAATGCTCTTCTTGATGTAATAAAATTTGAATTTGTTTTGGTTTTTTATTGATTTTTTAATTTTTTGATTTTGTCTTTTTTTTTTTTTGTGTTTTAGTGTGGCCATACATACATATGTATATATGTATATTTTTAATAATTTACAAAAGATAAAAAAAAAATGTTCCCCGTGTATATACTCATAATATTACATGCCTATTGGCGCAGCGACGATAGTGACCGAGAGAGAGGCGCAGGTCGGGAACGACTCCTCTCGGTTCAGGAGTCCTCAAGGCGCCGCATTGCACAGCAAAATATCTTGCAGATGCTATTCTTCAACTACTAATGGATCAAGGGTCCTTAACTTATATTCTCACCGAACCTCACTTTCTTCTCTCGTGGATCTTCTAATGGTCGAATACGAACGTTCCTTGGGCCTGAGAAAAATTCACTTTCTCTACGTACGAAGGAATACGCGGCTACATGGACTCTTTTTGTAGACTCTTAAAGATGAGACTTTCTATATTTATTTTTGAGATACTGATTAATAAAGATAAATTTCGAGATTCCCTCCTTTTTTAAAGAAAATGCACAGAAACTCCAAATATAATGGGGCAATGTTGTTTATCATTTATTTTTTGAAGATTATCTCATTTCGAGTGGTGACTGGCGAATCATGATGTTTCCAAGGCCCGACTCATGATGTTTCCAAGGCCCGAATCGAAGCGGGATTTTCCGAATGGACTTTAGACTTTACATATCCCCATAAGAAAAAGTCTAACGGCGTGATATCACACGATCATGTTGGACAATCAACCGGCTCAAAACGTGAAATTATCTGCTCAGTAAAGTGTTCTCTCAATAAATTGTGTGGGCAGTGGTGCCTTCTTCTTGAAACCAAATGTCGTCGAAATTCCGAGCTTCCATTTCAGGCATCAAATAGTCGGCTATCATGGCGCGATAACGGTCACCGTTGACGGTTACGTTACGGCTTCAGTTCGTGCACCTGCTGCATTTTGTACGCTTTCACTCAAAAATATCGACGTAAAATGCGCCAAATCTATTCATACGTCAGTCAGATTTGCTGCGAATGGCGCCAAACCGACTCACCACGGCTTTCGTGTACACTCTCAGCTACGACTACTATATTTTCCTCACTGCGTGCTGGACGTGGTCTATTCGGTGAAATGTTGTCCAATAAGAATGCTAGATCTCAAGATAGATGATGATGTTGCAAATAGTATGCTAAGTATGTCGATTATGTTGGCCATAAGTTGACCGAAGTGCCTAAAACACATTCTTTATAGAACGTGAATTTTCGTGGTAAAGTTGAACGATTGGTAAACGTTGTTCCGGCGTAGGTCTTTCCATGACGAAATGCCAAACGATTCTGAACAAAAGTAACATGCCAGCAAAGATGTTGGAAAAGGTACCTCAACTTGGAACACCCGTTTTGAAAAGTATGTTTTTTACGGAATTAGCAGTCATTATACACACAATTACTTATATAGTGAAAGACAACCAACCAACTTTTAGTAATGAAAGTGACAACTTGATACTATACATACCCTTAATTTTGAGAGTTGATAACCGGTCCAATAAAGTTGGGGGAGATGGTCCTGATCTTCAGTAAATATTCGGGAAACCTTCTCCGTTTATTAATTACAAATAAATATTGTGAATTCTCCCACTTTATTTTATTTAATCAGTGCTTCTTTTACGTTTTTGATTATTGAAGTATTCCAAACAAAATATATGTTTACGTTTTGTGTGGAAGAAGAAATATTCATTGTTTTGAAAATTACAAGTTTTTTAGTGTAAATAGAAAACGGAGAAAATAAATTCAAACAAAATTACGAAACGTTAAAAATAGTCAATATTTAGTAATATTTTACTAAATTCGTTTACCAAATTAGGGTGTGTAGTTCGTGTGCCAAATGGCAGAATGGCGGACGATGATAGCAGAGCACCGCGTATGTACCAGTATCGACAAGACCGCACTCGATTCGCTTGCATCGCCTACAGTTTAACAGTGATCTTCTTTTGTATCTCAATCGTGCAATGGATCTTAATGATAACGCTGTGAGTGCTTATTTCCCTATGACTTTCTCATTGACCTCTCAACCTCTTTCTCATTTGTTCGCGTTTTAGTGATGGCTTACGCAACTTTATCATGGACTTTTCTTATATCTCAATAATTGCGCTGCTTATCGGCATGTTGTTGGTGACGTCCTTCGTATTCTTTGAAAATCTGCGCTTTGCGAAGCCCATCAATTGGGTGATAACAATTATAATAGTATGTATATAACGGTGTACTTTGCATTAATTAAAATCAATTTTTTTTGCAGGTATTCATGACAACTTGGGGCATTTCACGTGCTATCGTTGAACCAACTCTGGCGCTCTTCGGCATAACCTTGCTGTTCGTGTCCATTTTGGGCATTGTCTTCATAATCATCGGTGTACACATTCGTGTAAGTGGCGCGTTACTTTTTGAGATTATTTTTATATATATTTACATTTATGAGAGGTGTAGGTGATAACCTTTGCATAGGCACGAAGTTCATTCTGCAATTCGAAGAGCCGAAGTCATGTTACATTTACTTTCAGTGACAGAACAATTCATTAGTTCATGATTTTAAATTTCACAGTTCGCTTCTTTTATGATGATCATGACGGTAATGTTTATAACGGCATAATTTTAAGCTATGGTCTTATATGAGGAGTCAAAACAGAAGTACACGAAATTCCTATTGGCTCTGGATAGAAGAGACTGTAGGAAACTGATGGGAATACTAACTGGTGACTGTCTGGTGGCGAAACTCGCCCGCAGGATGTAGCTGACACATCGAGAAGATTGCAGGAAATGTCTAGACCAGGGCATCTGGCATATCATGGATCATCTCTTATGCACTTATCCCGCATTGGTTAGACTGCGCTGTAAATATCTGGGGGGGGAGGTATCGGGCATCCTAAAGGATGACTACTCCTCTTGGGCCTAACAACTGAACTCCATCTGGTATCGCAAAGGACCAAAACTAGTCTAAGCGTGGCTTAGATCTTTATCTGGTTCATCAGATAATTTTACATAACCTAATCTTATATGGGGAGTCGGTGTCCGGCTCTCCCTTTCCTTCCAGTTTGCGTCAGATATATTCATATTCGACAAAATTGCTGTTCTTGTCAAAAAAATCATTACTTCCTGATATCTTCAACGAAGATAGGGCTTTGTTTACAATCGCTTTGAAAATTTGACAGTTCGTTTCGTCGAGAGTCGCTATACTGTCTCTATCATTGCGGGAATACCCAAATTTAAACCATTAATCCCCTATTTGAAAGTTTTCTTTAAGATTTCGTCAAAAACACTTTTTCAAAGTAAAAAAAAAAAAAAACAAAAAAAAAATTATCTATATTACATGGCTCCTGTCTTATCGCTTTCAGCACGATTTAACACTGGACGTTGTGATACTGTTTGTGGCAGCTGTAATATTTTTTATCACCTCGGTATTCTTCGTAATGCTGCAGCTTTTGGCGGGTCTTAAAATAGCGTTCTTCATTTATTCGACGATCATAATAATAACGGTGCTGATGGTCAGTTTCATATACTTTTTTTCTTGATATAACATACAATTATTATAACTATTTCTTTGGTCACTTGCAGTTCCTCATGTACCATGCACAGACCATAAATGGTTACCGTTACGCGGAAATGCGTCTAAATGACTATCTACTGGCTGCACTCATACTCTACCACGATCTAACAATACTACTGATCATGTCGTTCTTACTGATTGCTAAAATATATGAGCTGGCAGGCGGCCGGGGTCTATCGCTCTACGGTGATTCTTGGTGGGTGTCAGAACCGGCAATGTGTTAGAAATAGTATACAAATTTCTAATGAAAAATTTTCTTATTTTTCAAAATCAGCTGTGGTAACTATACTGGCGCGTCGAACAGATCGCTTTCTGACGACTTCTCGCTATATAACAGCGGTAGCGACAATGTGGCGCCGATTTATCTGTAAATTGCGAATTTCGTCGGGAGTTTTTAAAATATTGCGTTAACTACTTTGTTTAGTAAACGTTTAGTATACAATATCATAATTGTAAATGCATGTTGTAAGTGTGTGGTGAATAAAAGATCCTTGAACGATTTTTCATTTAAACAGTGTTGGGTAACACTGGAACATTTATTTTCGTTTCATTTAGTTTAAATTTTGTAATTAGACAGACATTGTATTATAATTTAAGTAACTCCTTTTAAAAACACAGTTGAGCTTAATTTTTTTCAATATTTGCAATGTTGCAAACTGTTACAAATTTGTAATTAGCACAGAGAATACTTTAATATGTTCAGAACATAACTTTATTATTATTATTATTTTTTTTTTTTTTGAATTTATTTTATAATTTGCCTTTTAAATCTTTAAGCATTAATGAAATATTTTATTAAGCACTCTGCTCATCTTCTGCTTAAGCTTCCTTTAACTATGTACCTGTAAGCTTAACTACCGAGTTTTCCATCCACAACTCCATTTTCATTACATTTTTGGTTTTTGTTTTTAATTTATAAGCTTATGTGCTCATATGTGAATATATGTATGTATATATAACTTTTACGATCTACGATACTGCCAAGCGCACAAATGTATGCAGCATGCAGACTATTATGTATTTTTAGATGGATTGGTACATATACATATATTTTTTTTATATTATTTTTTGACATATATAATTATTTTTTATAATCAAAGGAATCATAAACATGATTAATACATATAATATATATTTTACCTAAATTCTAAACTTATTCTCAGTAATCGCATTTGGCTAAGTTGTTGGTTGCCAGAAAAATTGTTCATTATAAGTCAGTGATTTTAATAAATGTTAATAACTTTTGGGGGGACACACCCCTACGATAGAGTAAGATATATTTGATATATATATTGATATATTGGTTATATTTGGTTATATTTTGGGTTATAATATATGGCATCTTCAACAAGATGGTAGCATATTTGGTTATAGTAAAATATAGTAAATGAGCAAGCTTGCATTTTCTGCCTTCAGTAGTAAGTCCTAGACACATATATTTCATCAGAACCATTCTTTATATATTTTTGTATTCAATTTGGTTTTTTTTTTTTTCAATTTCCTCAACATATTAATGTATTTTTGGAGTGTGTAAGAATTTTTTATATAATAAAGCAGATTTATAACGCTTGAATATATATGTATATGTAAGTACATAGTTAATAGTTAGATAAGTTTATATATATATTTTTTTTTTGGATTTTTGCTACGTTTTTGGTAGAATTTTATGCACTATTTATTGCTAGCACAGCAGAAGAATGCTACTTTTTAGGAAATAATTTTTTTTTTATTAATTTTAATTTT